GAATTGGGATTAGGGATTCATCCAAATGCACCATGCCCACCTAGTGGATATGCCTTTGGAGGTAGGCTGAGCAAAACAGGTGATGTCAGAAACAAAGTTGGTAGGCATGGCTCTCTTCACACCCTCTATGCATTAACCCAAGGGAGGGGAACCTCAGACCCAGGGGCTAAATATGGCTCTCCCAAAAAAACCTGTGGCTCTCCCCAGACTACATCCCTATTGACCTGGTTCTGTGTCCTCCTCAAATGCCAAATCATAGCTGGAATGTTTCCTTGAGTTCCCCTTGGAGAACTTTGGATTGGCTGCATCATCATCATCATCATCATCATGGAGACATTGTGTGGGTGCATGTACCAGAGGTGGGGTAGCTTTTTGGCCCAGTGGGTCAGAATGTTACTGTCCCCACCCCCACAGGTCAACTTTGACAGCTCAGAACATTGACAGGTGAATGGTCCCACACAATTGCCCAGGTCCCTTGTGCAGCATTTCCCAAGGAAACCAATAGCCAATTGGTTGTTGGACGTTTGGAACCTGCAGTCCAAGGGGCTTTGCAAAGGGCTGGCAAAGTTGCTGTCTGCAGGGAATGATTGTGCCATCAGGTTGCCCACAGGGAATTTTGCCACACAGCCAATCCATCCAGGGGAGTTCAACTCACCACCCATGCTTCCACAGTCAAGTTCTCCAAGGGGAACTCGGTTACACTGCTGATCTGATTGGCTTGTCTCATCAGTTGATCTGATGGGCGATGAGCACAACCCTGCTTTCTCCTGGAATTGGCAGCGTGATTGAGTTCCCCACAGGGAACACAGATGCACAGCTGATCCATCAGGTCTGAACTCACCGCCCATGACTGCAATTTAGTTCCCCAAGGAAACTTGCTTATCAGATTTCACAACCTTACCACATCTTTTCTGAACTTTTTCTGAAATGCATATTTCCTAGTCTTCAGTCACGTTTCCAACATATTTTCATTCAGTCACTATTTCAAACTTTTCTTGCTTCTTGACAAAAGATAAAATAAAATAAAAATGTAAGAGCCTTAGGACAAGGACCTAAAATTTGCTGGTGTCACTTCAAGTGATGGATGGATGGATGGATGGATGGACAGTTGGACAGATAGATAGATGAAACTGATAATGTGGGTGTTGCAATACAGGCTCACATACATATTAAATTGTAGAATAGAAAATGATTTTTCTTCTCCCTTTATAGATATTTTTCCAAACTGCAGCAACAGGAAAAACACAACTCCCAAACAGAGATGTTGGATTTCCTTTTGTGTAGCACGCCCTCATCTCTTACTGTACAAAAGAGAGGCACAGTGGAGACCGTGAATCTGAAAGTCTGTAGTCAGAATAATTTACACAAATTAAGTCTATCTGCATACAAGTGCTGACATTTACGTAACTCAAATGGCTTTCTTGATTCAGATCATTATATGATTTGAATATTATTTAACAGGGGAATGGATGATCAGTGGGAACGGAGGGAAGGAAAGGACATGGAGATATTCCTAAATGTCCTTCACAACTATAAGGGAATGGGTGTAGCTCAGTGGTAGAGTATCTTACCTTGCAATCAAAAGTTTCCAATGCCCAATGTCTCCAGGGACTGGGAGGGGCTTCTGCCTGAAACCCTGGAGAGGTCAGACTCAGTTAGTAAGACAGCTTCCAATGTTCCTAGCCAATGTTTGCCCAATTCGGAGCAGGCACACTGGAAGTAATGGACTTGAGTAACTCAAGTCCACCGGTTTCAACAAATCTATTCTGTACACAACCCCAAGAGGGCTAGGAATGCTCCTTTTCCCCCTTTAAAAATGAAATAAAGCTTTTGATTTTCATTATATTGCATTGGGCTGAAGAAAATTTGCTTGTGCAGCAGACCCACGGATGCATGGGGGTACACAAACTTCAGCAAGAGTTAAACTTACCCCCTCTAGGCTCCCCCGCATCCGATTTGTGTCAGCTGTCTTTGTCCCTGCTCTTCTGTCATTTATTTCATGGGTAAGTGAGTAGAAATGGAGACAGTATGTTTTCTGTTGAATATCAAGAGCAGTGAAAATGGCCTCCAGCTAGAGGACAAATCATTTCTATGCATGATGAATCCTTTCAATATCAAGAGCCCTGGAAATATGAGAGCAACTCACAGTCATTAGCTCTTAGCACTGTTCTTAAATAGAGGAGAGAGTAAGCCTCAAAAAAACCCCAATGTTCGTCAAGTATCACACAAGCCTGTCAGTGTTTAAGTGAATAATTTACTCTCCTTGCAAACATTCTGGTGTAATTGCAAGAAATGAGCAATCAGATAGAGGATAACCACAAAAAAAAGCTCTCATAACAGGGAGGAAATATCTATTTGAGTAGATGATGGATGAATATTAAAAGGAGAAGCCCAATTTAACCTTGGAGCAATGACACTGCTACATTTAGTGGGTGGATGTGGGGAAAGAAAGGAAGGGAGAAGTGCCCATTGGAGCAATGGTTGAGTTACAGGATGGAATGACACACTCAGGAAAGAAGTGCTGTTGAGAATGTCCTTCCATAACATTTAATGCAACATGCTCAGTATATCAGATCCAATGTTTTACTCAGGGTAGACTTAGTCTAATTAATGGACATGGCCAACTTAGGCCTATTAAGTTCAATGAGTCTACTCTGAGTAGACCTTAATTGAATTCAACCCAATTATCTGATGTATTGGTGGGGGTGACGGGACGCGGGTGGCGCTGTGGGTAAAACCTCAGTGCCTAGGACTTGCTGATCGTATGGTCGGTGGTTCGAATCCCCGCGGCGGGGTGAGCTCCAGTCGTTTGGTCCCAGCTCCTGCCCACCTAGCAGTTCGAAAGCACTCTTAAGTGCAAGTAGATAAATAGGTACCGCTTTATAGCGGGAAGGTAAACGGCGTTTCCGTGTGCTGTGCTGGTGCTGGCTCGCCAGCTGCAGCTTCGTCACGCTGGCCACATGACCCGAAAGTGTCTTCGGACGGCGCCGGCTCACGGCCTATAGAGCGAGATGAGCACACAACCCTAGAGTCAGACACGACTGGCCCGTACGGGCAGGGGTACCTTTACCTTTACCTTTTATTGGTGGGGGTAGGAAATGGTTGCTTAAGGAATGGGATTTCTGGGGATTTCAGTGTGAAATGGCCCAATCCTGAACTAATCTGCGTGTATTTAGCTTTTGCACTTCTTCAAAACTTGCTTTTTAAAACAAAGCAAAACAAAACAAAAACCCCTTAATATATTTAGAAATGCATAAACCAATGTATGCACCAATGTAATGGTGCATTCAGGATAGAATCCCATCCATGACTGGGACCATAGGCTGGGACATACCAGCCCAATTCTTTCTTTCTTTCTTTCTTTCTTTCTTTCTTTCTTTCTTTCTTTCTTTCTTTCAACAGTCAGCTTTATTTTAAAATCATACTCACCCCTCTGTTCTTACTGAAATTGTGCTTTCACCCTTCTTTACTTCTGAGTGGTGTGTGAGAAGTGGGGGAGAGATGTAAAAATTTGCTCTTCACAACACTTTCTCCTGAACAGGAAAGCTGGTGAGAAATTAGATTTGTCAGTGTGCTGCTCCGTCTTCCTCATGTTATGACTCTTGAGGGAACACTGCACAGCAATAGCAGCTATTACTACCTCAGCAAATGAAGCTGTGGAAAATTAAATGGCAAATTCTATCCACATCCCTTCAGCTCAGATATGGGATGCTTGCCCAGTGCTGTATTTGTCCTAAGAAAACATGCTGTAATAGCAGGGAGTTGTAGCCCCCTTTTGGTCAATTTGCTCAAATAAGCCTCCTGCGTTTGATTATCTGTTTTATTTATAAATCCCACCTTTCAATCTGTGGTAGCCTCACAAGGCGGCTGACAAAAATAATACTGGTAATGATTTAATAAAATTGCATTTAAACAAGCAGAAACTCATAAGAGCTAGCAGTAAAGCGGGAATTGTGTGATGTAGTAATAGAGAACTCAGGTGTTCAAAACAGGGCCATTGAATGTGTTCAAAACAGGGCCATTGAAAAAGAAGAGGGGATTCTCAAGCAAGCACAGGGGAAACCCAATGTTAATTGAATAGAAGAATATATTTAGGGGGTATTGGTGCAAAACAAGCAGGAATGGATTTAGACCCTAGGAGAGGATATATTGTTTAGTTATTATCCTTCCTTGCTCACATTAGTGAGATCAGAAGAGTGCCATCCTTTGTAGCTTTAACTTGGAATCTAAGACAAGGTTGATTTAACCTTCTGGAAACAATAATGCCAGATGCTTTAAGGCAGACTGGATTTTACTGGTTATTACCCATTTCCCCCCCTTACAAACAATAATGAAGAAATAAAAGTAGTATTTCCTTACATAAAATGTAAGCTCAAAAATGCATGCATGTTAAGCTGGGAAGCATGGGGGGAGGATGCCCAGGCAGGAAGGAAAGATGAAGTGCTACAGTTTCCTGCAAAGGCAGACAAAGGAGTTGATCTCACAAAGTTCTCTCTAGTAATTTTCTTTCCAGGAAAGCTCTGTGAGCCTCAGTTCCTTCATTTGCCTGTCTGGCAAAACATGAATTGTTGGTTTGACTACAATAATGTCTCGCAAATTTCTCTCTCTCTCTCTCTCTCTCTCTCTCTCTCTCTCTCTCTCTCTCTCTCTCTCTCTCACACACACACACACCATGCCCATGATTGAGCCTGTTTAGTTGCCATAGAATGCTAAGTAAGCGATAGCCTAGTGCTTAAATTGTTCGGAGTGGGGATGGAATGGAGTGTCCTGAATAAGAGGTTGCTGGCTAGCTGCAACATTGAACCAGGAATGTTCTACTCCTCAAACTGGAGCAAAAACCAAAACCAAAACCTCCTTACCCTCCTGCCACCCACATGCAGTGAACACGTGAGGGGCATCATGACTTCTAGCCATACTCTGGCAACCTCACATTCAGAGTTCCTGTGAATGGGGCACTGCAGGCTTTGGATTCCCTTCAGAGTGCTGAATATACAGGAAAGGTTTGTAGCTCAGTGGTGCTGTTTCCGCCTTGCATGCAGAAGGTTCCAGGTTCAAACCCTGACAGCTGCTGATAGGAATGGGAGACACCATTTTGCAAAACCCTGGATAGTTGATGACAATGCTGAGCTAGGTGAATGAAGGTCTGATTCTGTTTAAGGTAGCTTCCTCTGTTGCTGTGTCACCAGTGGGCATGGCCAGGGGGTACATTTTCTCCCCCTTACATGCAAAGGGTTTATACGCCTGCTTTTTCTCTCGCATTTGATCAATATGGTGAAATAAATCGAACATTGCTGTGTATGGCTGAACTGACAGTGCAGAACGAGTGAATGCTACTCGGAGTTTTTGCATATCCACGCCATTCCATTTATGATTTCAGTGCCTTCAGCTAATATTTTACATTCTTAACAGGGCCAGAGAGAGAGAAAGGAGAGAGCGAGAGAGCTAGCTCACATAGATTTTAATATAATTGAGAATAGGTTAGAGACTCAAGTCTGGGTTGGAAGGGTAATTAAAATTCCAGACACACCACGGCTACAATCACAGCAACAACACTGTACATGCACTCATTAAGGAAACATTCAGTTAGTCACTTTGCAATCAGGTTTAAAATGATTTTACTCTGCCTGTGCTGGAGTCCCACAAGTATGCGCTGGTACTAAAATAAGAAATAAATAATTTTGTTAAAATAATAAACATTTATTGAAAACATTTGGATCAGACCCAATCAAGTCTTCAGCTGTGTACTTTTTAATCTCAGAGAATGGAAAGTAGAAAGAGATTATTTTCCCAGAAAGCTACCTTAGCTCTTTTACTTCACACCCATGCCACATTATTATCAGGTTGGCATCCCATGATGTGCCTTTTGGCTCTGAAAACCATGTCAGACTGTGAGCCTGAGGCCTGTTATTCAGAAGCAAGTACCACTGAAACCAGGGAGAGTATCCGCTATGAAAATATCAATGGGCCGTAGTTGCGCTGGAAATACAATCTGAAGACATAACGTCGCCATGGAGGGACCATAGTTTAGTGATCAAGCACAGTTTTTGCATGCAAAACATTCAGACCTGCTCCCTGGTATCTAAAGTCATGAAAGGAACTAGCAAAGAGAGATGCTTGAGGATCTGCATCATCATGAAATTTGATTTGAGGAAGGGCCAAAGAATAGCGGCAGAGCAGATGCACCCAGTTCCTGGTTCAATCCCTGGCAACCCCAAGCAAGGCTGGAAGAAGCCCTTGTCTGAAACCCTGGAGAGGTGTTGCCAGTGAGGGTGGACAATGCTGAACTAGATGGACCAGTATGAGGCCCCTTCTCCACTACACATTTAGAACAGTATCCATACCACGTTATCATACCCCAAAGAATCATGAGAGCTGCCATTTGTTAACGGTATTGAGAGTTAGATTCAGGTAGGTAGCCGTGTTGGTCTGACGCAGTAGAAATAGATTTTAAAAAAATCATCCAGTAGCACCTTAGAGACCAACTAAGTTTGTTCTGGGTATAAGCTTTCATGTGCATGCACACTTCTTCAGATATGGTTTATAAGGAAAGTTTGAGACAATTGTCTGCTCCATCAGAACAACAAGGTGCACTTTTGAAAGGGAACCTAATGGATTTCTGCAGCGTCCCTAAAATGAACCTGTGGTATCTGAAGAAGTGTGCATGCACACGAAAGCTTATACCCAGAACAAACTTGGTTGGTACTGTAGCAGCAGCAAGATGTGTAGACGTACAGTCAGTTAAAAGTTGGTTTTATTCCAGAAAAACATGCCACTTGTCTGGAGCTCTCTGGCCCCGTGACTTATGGCTACCCTGATGATGACTCAACTAAATCCTCAGCGTTGTTCCTCTTCCTCCGGAAACAACATGTGAAAATGAATCTCTTCCGTCGCTTCTGTGATGTCAATTTCCCCTTTTCTTGTATCCCTCCTCTTCTGCGTTCTTGCATGCTGAGAGGTTTGGAAACTGGCTCGGACAAGCTATCGTCTTCTAAGTCCTGTGTTTCTCTGGGTTGTGAACTCCCCCCTGCAATTTCCTCTGTTCGTCCCATAACAAACCTCCCTTCGACCCCTGGGCTGCCGTCCAAGTCTGGCACCTGCTATTGCTCGCTTGCTGGTTCCAGCCTGACAGGTACTGAGAGTTGTTAGGTGAGCCCCATCTCCCTCCCAGGAACTACAATTCCCAGAACTGCCCCTTAAAATGGATTGATTCTTAATCCACTCGAGCTGTAGCTCTGTGAGGGGAATGTGGTTCAGGTCACAAGTACGAGGAGGAGGACAGGGGATGGTGCTAATATTTATTTGAATGCCACCCTGTGTGAGGCACTAACAGTGCATAAGTAACCACCAACATTGCAAATCATCTCTTTTTTCTCTCTCTTTGAGAAAATCCTGAGCCGATTCCAAAGCCAGCCAAGATCCATTACTTGCCCTACCCCGACATTTCTAAATGGCAGCCCTGTGAAGGACACACCTTCCTGGATAGAGACCAATACGTGGCACAGAACTAATGGCCAAACTCTTTCTCCCCTCGCCCCCGCTTGAGAGGAGTTTGTAGCAATTTAATTTGGCTTTACGACTTCAGTGCAGTGACATCATTTTTGGATGGTCTTAGATGCCCTGCCTTTACAATGAACAAATACAACAGGACCCTAGACCAAGGGGCTTACCATCTAAAAGATAAACAGTGAAATTATAGAATTGTAGAGTTGGAAGGGAACTCTAGGGTCATCTAGTCCAACCCCCTGCAATGCAGGAATCTCAGCCCAAGCATCCATGATAGAGGGCCACCCAACCTCTGCTTAAATGGGGGGAAATGGAAGCATGGTGAAGAATACGTGATTATTTCAATTATATGCATATTTGGTCAGTTGTAACAGGCCTCCATTTGGCTTGTTGTGGTGTAATGCCAGTGTGGTGTAGTGGTTAAGAGCAGTGGACTCATAATCTGGTGAACCATGTGCAATTCCCCGCTCCTCCACATGCAGCTGCTAGGTGACCTTGGGCTAGTCACACTTCTCTGAAGTCTCTCAGCCTCACTCACCTCACAGAGTGTTTGTTCTGGGGGATGAAGGGAAAGGAGATTGTTAGCCTCTTTGAGACTCCTTAGGGTAGTGATAAAGTGGGACATCAAATCCAAACTCCACCTCCTCCACCTCTTCTTCTTCTTCTTCTTCTTCTTCTTCTTCTTCTTCTTCTTCTTCTTCCAAAGCTGTTTCCCCCCAAATCATGGCCATCTGCCTCACACCTCACATCATACATGACACCAGGTGAGGGGCAGGTAGAGATGCAGCTGCCAATACACAATTGGGAGTCTTAAAATGTGCTCCTGACGGTTCATTGGTGATTGTCTTTTTCTTTTTAAATGATATTTATTCCAAATTTAAAGTTACAAAAAAGAAGTAGAAAAACCATACAAAATACAAAGAAGACTTTAGCCATAACAAAGCAAAAAATGAACAAGTAAAAAAGAACAATAAGATAGAATAAAAAAGAAGACTTAACAAAAAATATAAAAATACATTAAATTAAAATAAAACAAAAACAGATTAAACCTTTACATAGCCTTTTCCCTTTACTTATTTCCATGACCTCCTCTCACCTCCCGATTTTGTATTCTAGTTCAGATCGTGTTTCCAGCAAATCCTTCTAACCTTATTTTCATTTACGTATTTTAAAATTAAAATAATGTAATTAAACCTCCTCTATTTCATCAATTTCATCAACTCATTTTTGCTTAGTCCATTATATCATATCTACCAGAACGACCTAATATTCTTTTTCCAACCTCTTTCTAACATTCTTTTATATTGCAGTATTTTTGAAGATATATTTTGAATTTTTTCCAATCTTCTTCCATCGACCCTTCTCCCTGGTCTCGAATTCTGCCGGTCATCTCAGCCAGTTCCATGTAGTCCATCACTTTCATCTGCCATTCTTCTCGGGTGGGCAATTCTTGTGTCTTCCAGTACTTCCCGATGAGTATTCTTGCTGCTGTTGTAGCATACATAAAGAAAGTTCTATCCTCCCTTCGCACCAATTGGCCGACCATGCCCAGAAGCAAGGCCTCTGGTTTCTTCAGAAAGGTATATTTAAATACCTTTTTCAATTCATTATATATCATTTCCCAGAAAGCCTTAATCCTTGGGCATGTCCACCAAAGGTGAAAAAATGTACCCTCAGTCTCTATACATTTCCAACATTTACTATCTGGCAAATGATAGATTTTTGCTAGCTTGACTGGGGTTAAGTACCACCTGTAAATCATTTTCATTATATTTTCTCTTAAGGCATTACAAGCCGTAAATTTCATACCTGTGGTCCATAACTGTTCCCAGTCAGCAAACATAATGTTATGTCCAAAATCTTGTGCCCGGTTCATTGGTGATTGTCACTGCCAATCAGCAGAAAGAGCAAGCTTGTCAATCAGAGCAGAAAGCAAAAACCAAAGTTAGCATTAAGCAGCAGTAACTTCAAGCCCTGCTTGGCTAGGCTTGGATTCTCCTTTCTAATGCAATTTGCCACAGTAGAAAGAAAAAAATGGGTTGCCTGACATCAGGTGCCAGCCAGCTGTCAAAATGGCTTATCAAGGGTGGGGGAACTTGGAATCTGGTCCAGCAGGAGACAGAGTTCCTCACCCCTTCATGATTCCTAGTGTTAGCCTTGGAATGCAGTTTAGATGCTGAACAATTTACAACTTGAATAATTGTAACAATATGGATGCTACAATATGGATGGCAAGATGCCTTCTCTGGAAGATTCCATCTAGCCAAGCTTTTCCAAGAACGGTGACTGCTTATCATGCCATTTTCAAGTTACAAAAACATTCAGACTTAAATACTTCAACAGCTTAACCAGACAAAATGCAAAGAACATTGCGAGGGCCCTGTTTACCAACAGATTTATAATTACAAAATAAATTGAGCGTGAAATGAAAACATTTTTTTTTAGTTTTAGCCATAATGCCATGAAATATTTGATGTTTCTTTAAGAAATTATTTTTGGAAGGGAGTCAAAAAGAGGAACTGTTGAACAAAGTTATTTTAGTCCATCTGCAAATTCAGGACATGTCA